AATTGTATACAATATCCTTCCTTCTGCGCCGTTTTGTACGCGCTTTCTCCTCGCATAGGCTTACCTGTTGCCGTATAATGACGTGAGAAAAATGAATGATCATATTCCGAATACACGATAAGGATTTACTAGTCGTGTCTAGCGGAGGATCCAAAATCACCGATCCTGCGTACGGCCGGCTAACGGCGTAATCTCGATTTGAAAAGCGAGCGGCCGCGATGCATTTTATCCCGTTGTATCGCGCGCACGTGTGTTGTAACGACGCTGCGCGCGCGCGTGCACGCGAAGCTCGGTGTAAGTATAAATTTACGCCGGTTAGGCGGCACACTCCGATTGGACATTAGCCGCGGCTTGGATTTAACGGGCGGGAGGATAGAGAGGTGAGAAAAAGGAACGGGAGAAAGAAGGAGAGTTATTCGATTAGGCGGACGCGGTAAGTTCCATTAGTAGCGGGCCGGCCGCGAGAATGGTCGAAGTCCATTTATTAGTTCAGCGGGGGCGAGAGATCGTTACAGAGGTAAACTTTCGCGAGGAAGAAGTCCGAACAACGCACGCTTACGCCCCGCCGTCGCCGCCGTTCGTAGAGATTTGCACTTAGGCAACTTATTAACCCGGTTTAATCGCGCCCGTCGAGTCAAACTCTCTCCGATTGGTGTTGGATGACGCCGGCGTGCTGCTTAATCCCCACACGAAGTCACGAACTAATTTCGCGAACTACGTTTACAACGTAGTCCTCCTCTCTCTCTCACACACACACACACACTCTCAACTACGCTCGAGATCAGGTCGGATTAAAGAACTATAGTGAATCTTGCCTGCGCGCGCGAGCGAGGATCGATTATGTGTGCGCGCGAACAAACGGTGAGACTCGAGCCGACATAAATCGTATCGTTGATTCTTCTTCTTTATTTCCCCGTCACTAATTAATTCTCGGATCATCGGCAGCGGCGCAGCATCAGCAGCAACGGCGTCGATGAAATCAATAGGCGGTGGCGGAGCGTAAATGTGATTTTAATTGCGAGACAAAGTACCGCGGGAGACCATCTTATCGGCGCGACGGGGACGACGACAACGGGTCGACTCGCGCGTTAATTAATAATCCGATCGTTTCGAGACCGAGCGGGGACAAAGGTTCTCGACGTGAGTTCTGCAATCGACAGTTCATCCTATTAAACTCTAACGAGCGCGCCTAGTCTCCTCGCAAACAATGACTGATTAAGTTTTCCATCCGCCGTTAGCGTGCGGCGATTCCCGCGAGACCGCCTCATCGCGCTTTCGAAGTTGACTAAACAAGCTGCCCGAGAGACACTCACACAGAGAGAGGGGGGAGGATCGCGGTTTCTCAAACATCGGGGAAAATCGATGGACGGCAATCGACTGATGGACGAAGTCTCGACAAGCTTTGGTGCGACTGATTTTTCCTTTAATTCGTTCCTGCAGCGCCATCTTCTAATGAGTGTTTGCGTTATGAAGTTTGGCTCTTCTAATTTGACTCTTCAAGTTTGACATTTCTACGATCATCCGAAACTTCAAGGCGCTATCATGTCTGCGTTATGGCTCTCGAGATTACACGGTGACGGTATGTTACGCTCGTCGGAGGTAACGCTGTGGAGCAAGAAGCCGATATGAAATTTTGTTTTAAGCCGGGCGAAACAGCTGGCGAAACGGAACGAAGCGAAAACAAAGCGTTACGGCGCCATTCAGGGACATCCGAGGGGCCGCGGTATCAATGGTGATTCCGCAAGCGAAGAGTGACTGCTTCCGGAAATGTTTTAATCACTTCCAGCGTTGCATTGACTCGGAAGGAGTGTATTGTTGAATAAAAAAAGTACAAACGAATGATAACTGATGTCTTGTACGATATTTTCGGTATCAGCCTCACCAGAGCCCGGACAGACTCTGTGTGTACGTAACCTGTTGTGGCGCGCGCGCACACAGCGTCACAGACACACACATACAAACGCGTGCTCACGGCTGGGCGCACAATGACATACGCTTTTGAAACGCGCGTTATTGTTGCAACATCGAAAGTAATTTCGAGTAGGTAGACGAGGGAGAGGGACGAGACTCGTCGTCCGTTTTAAAAGCGAATGTCCGCCCGGAATCAATCTCTTTCCTGACTGTCCGCTCGTTGAGTTATCGCGCGACGCTTTGTACTTAACGATTGAATCCGCGATGCCAAAACGATTAATACTTGTCGCGAGGGCGCCGTTAGGCGAACACGCCGCGGTTCTGTGAAGTGGAACGACCATTTGAATTTGATTGTTCGACCGCAGAGAGGAAGAAAAAGGAAACGTACGCGCGACGCGGAAAGCATAACCGGCCCGGGAAAGAGCAATCAATTCTTATTGTCGCGTCGGTAGAACTCGCGGTAAATTTGTTCCATTAATAAATCCGACCGCCGCTTTCTTTGTTAATCATCGAAAGTGCGCGTCGTATATATAGATAAGATTGCTCAATCACGGTGACGATATTATGCGGAGACCGTTTCCGTCTTCGTCCAACGACGAACCCGCAATCCCGTCGTTTCCCTCTTATTTCACCGTAATAAGAAGATTGTAGAACAGATTGAATGAAAAAGAAGAGCGCACTTCGCGCATCGTTCACAGCGGAGTGAAATACGGCGCGGTCTCGATAAGCTTATTACAACATTTCTCCGCAGCTTCCCAAGAAATGACTGAGATAATTGGACCTAAATTGTGTGACGGCACAGTCGCGCGTAAACTTATCGCCGCATTAACCGTGAGTATCCATTAATATCCCACGATAACGGCTATCGATTCGCCGACTCCAATTAAACTCTTTCTGCGCAACGATAATGAACGATCAAACGCGCACCGTCGGCTATTAAAAGCACTTAACGTGTGTATTTCTCGTGTAATTACCGACTTTATTCGCCTTTAGAAAATTGTCGCAATTATGAGGGAATACACGTATCGATCGGTAATGCGCGGCGACGCATATTCGGCGTTTGCGTGGTACCCACTAGAAGTTTCCGGAACTTTGTTGCGGGATTCGCTACCTTTTACCGTCGGTAAAACATGCACCTTCGGTGCCTGTCCTTCTATCTCAGACGTTTACGACCCATTTTATGCAAATATATCGTTAAAAGCGATTAAGAACGTGGGGACTTTCCTTCGTTACTTTTTTTTTTGTCAAATAATGTTCGGTCGAAATGTTTTTCATTAATTTGATCGCTTGCTAAGGCAACGAAAATTATTCAATTATTTTCCTCGGCTTTCGTTTGTTACTTTCTACGAAATCAGAATAAAGTTTGAAGTTCGCGTGTCTCAATTTGAGTCGTAGATGCTGTCGTGACGGAAACTCAGTCACCGACGACGGTAAAGTTAGCGTTCTTCGATTATCTTCGGACTCTTCGGACTCGCTTATTGAACGCTGAAGCATGGTCTATAGTCGCAGATCAGTGTTTCGTTTATCTTGCGTCGATAGAATCGCTTTACGGACAAGAGTTCTGCATTATCGCTGAAACAATTTTTTTCCATTTTTTTATTCAACGATCTTCGCGGTATTTTAAAATTTTATTTATTACGTCTACGCTTGTATTGATAGTTTATTTTTTAATTTGATTTGACAAAATTTCATTGCTGAACTTCATTGTACATTTGGCTGTAGGTATGTCCAGTGATGTCGCAGAAAAATTCGTTATCTTTAACGGGTTTGACTTTTAACTAACTAAAGCTGTCTGTTTTGGGATTTGAAGGTTGGCTAAATGACTAGTTATGACTAGACCTGTCAAGAGTGTTAGTAGATGATGGATGCAGGATATTCCACGGAGCTTTCATGTTCTTCCAACATTGCTTATCAAGTTATTACAATTCTGAAATCTCTGCTAAGAGGCGCCATCGTTTATATTTAATAGATTGAGATCGTAGTATACAGAGAACTCAAAATGCCTTCCAATTTTCAGTTAGACAACATATTTACATATTTTTTGCACATTATATCTACATTCCATACAGCATGAAAGCTTAATTGCAGGAACGTTGCAACATTGCAAATTACAATGTAATATTATAAAAATATTGCGGGAACATGGAACTGCAATATTTAGACGAAATATTGCGGTAACATTCCTGAAATATTACAAATTTATTTAATATTCGAATATTTCGATTTTTATATGTATCGTGATTACGCACGAAAAAGTGCATTTATGGTTTAAACTCTGACGTCGATCTTACTTTTTAATAATAGGCACTGTCATTGTTATTTTAATGACTTGGTATTATTAATTATAACGCTCGCTGAACGCTTGCTAAAATAAGTCACTCTATAAATGCAATGAATCTTTAGGCAAAGAAATATTAAATGAGCCACTTCAATATTGAAATATATCAAACAATAAATTGTGCGATATTATATAAAAATAAGTTTTTTTTCTAATTAATTGAAAAGTAAATAAATTATATTAGCAATTATTATTATATTTTTGTTAATTTTATTCGTACTTAAAAATAAGCTGTAAAATAAGTTCCCACCATAATGTTCTGATTTTAACGAATAAATTTGTAAATATATATGCAGACACAAAAATAAAAAATAAAATTAACGTAAATATAACTGTAGGAAGTGGCGCTATCTTGCGTTCTCCGATTATTCAGGGTAAGCCGTTTCAAGTGTTTCAAGTGTTACAAGCTGTTTTCTCTGAAAGTACGCATCATAGCAGAAAACGTTTTAAATAAAAGTTGTTTGGTTCGAAGGGGGCAAACAGATAAGCACATTAGTTTGACCTTGAATGGACGTGTCAAGGTCATATCAAGGTCACAATGAATTTTTTTAATGGAATCATGTAATTTTTGTAACATGTATCGATTTTTCTACTCATTTTATACATAAATGTACTAGGGTAAGATCATTGAAAAATGAATACTTGCCAGGATATTAAAAAATTGATCCTGATACCTTTTCGTATATGTCATATATAGTATGAATGTGATATATACAATATACGTTAATACTATTGTATTTAATGTGACTGAGTTGCTGATTCTTCTCAAAATTAACAGACATAATACAAAAATATGTAGATATGATACGCCCGAGTCGAAATATCCCGACTGAAAATGGAAGGCATTATTAAAGTCGTGTGTACTCGGTGAGAAATAAAGATAGAACGATGCTTTTTCAGCACGAAAGCGTGCAAAACGAACTTAGCCTTAGTAATAAGCGTATTAAAAAGATACTTTATTTTCAAATAGTCAATATTTTCAAACAGATTGTCTTGCTTTCTCATTTTCTCTCTTTCAACGATAGATCTATATTATTAGTCTGTATAGATCTAATTTCATTGGATTTTATTTATAAAAATTTATTAAATATAAAATAATTATGAAGAATTTAAAGTTTAATTAATGTGCGAAAACAGAACGGAATTTTTATTATTTTAACTGCGCAACACAAAGCATTATTTGTACTTTGCATATCTAAATGGCAAAGTGACAGTTGATGGGAGACAAAAATAGTTTTGTCCCTGAAACCCTGATTTATCGGTTCATCGGCTGTTAATCTTTTCTGTTTGATACCGCGCGTATTGCATTTTAATTCGTGAGTTTTTAGCAAAATAGAAAACGTTCGATCATGTCGAACCAAACCAATAATTCATGAGCAGACTTGACATTCCATACTGATCAATTAAAAACCTGTTTTGGAATCGATCGCCAACGACGTTTAAAGTTCCAGCTTTGATGTCTCGATGACGCGTCCGATCGGCCGGTTCGGAGGCAAATTATGGTCGGAGTCTAATTTAACGTGGTCCCACGATACACCCAGACTTACGGCTTTATTAGCGTCGTATTCCCGTGTACGCGCAACGAAATTTCTCGGTATCCGATTGAAATTACCGCGGCTGTGCAAACAAATTACATAATTATCTGATAAAAATGCGCGCGCTCGAAGCGTATTCTCCACGCAACGATAAAAACTACTACGGGGCGTCACAGGATTATCGTCATTCGCTCGAAAATTTTTCACGTAAGCTTACTTATTAAACTTTTTCGATACGATTCAAATATCTCAGTGAATCAAATTACGTGCATGAATGGTGGGGAACACGTGAGGGACATTTTTAGCGGCGGCAGAGACGCCGTTAAACGGGATGAAATTTCTTTTCAGCCGTTTAATTTTGTTTGATGCTTTCCATTAGAGAGTACATTCCCTTTTCTACTCTCTTTAGTTCTTTCCAGATTTTATTAGATCAGTCGAAAAAAGTTCAAATTATTTCGCTCACGGACCCCCCACTCATATAGAGTATCATTAAAATAATACAGATAATAATACAAAAAATCATAGTAGAGAGTAATGAAAATATACAGTTGCAGAAGAATTGCTTGTGTCCCGCGCGACAAATCTTGCAGAAATATAAGAATAGCAGCGAAGCTGCTTCTTGACAAGTTCCGCGCCGTTTCCAGGTTTTCGTATTGCGATCGACGTTGAGCGGATCAGTAACTTAGTGATTCTAAACGGCATTCCTTCTCACCCAATCGGGCGTCTCGGTCGTCTGTACATATGCACCGCGTTTACACACGTGTCCGACATACGCACTGTCGCTAATTACTCGGCGCCGATCGCACCTATTCAGGTTCCGCTGTTTGTCGAAGTTACACCTCGGCCTCGCGTCCACCGCGCACAACTCACGTCGCCGATCGTGCTCCATTGTTCTGTGCATTCAACGCGAATAAAATTCGCCCCTCGTCGCACATACGAATCAGCGGCCGCGTCCGCGCATCGCATTCGCGGTTTTATCTCGCGTGAGTGAGCACGCTGAAATATCTCGCGAAATGCACCGAAGCGAAAGCGAATTGCATTGATTCGCTCGTCGGAGTGTGTCGGCTCAAGAATCGACTAATTATCGGCTGTAAGTTTTCGAGGAAAGAAAAAGAAAACGACCGAAACGAACCGAGAAAATCCTCTAAACAGGATTAATCGTCTGCTCTCTGCCGACCGGACCGATCGTCGTACCGTAACCGGTTTTTTTAGTCGGAACTGTGAACCGTGCGGAATATCTCGGAAGAAATATTCATTCTCCTATGATGTCAGACATTAGCAAGCGTCTCGCAGATTTCGTAACGTCAGTTGACCCGAAGCTGAAAGCCGTGACTGCCACTTGCACAGCCTACAGGACGAACTGGAGCGGTAAGAGGAAGTAAGGAGGCCTAATCCTGGAAAATTGCCTTGTTTATACGAAATCATTTCAACCACTGGACTAAATCAAGTCAATAACACTAGTCGTCAAAATGACACTTTTTCCGCTCTGTTTTTCAAGTCATTTTTGGCAGATTTCGCCTGCCTCTCATTCCTACCTTTTGGCCTGATCACCCCCTCTACCTCCTTCGCCGCATCCGTGCTTCACTCATTCTCGACGCACGTTTTCGGTAAAGTGCAACCTGCGACGTCATGTTTTCGGCAGCGGATAACATCGCGTGATTAAAGTAATTGGTCCGGGACGATACTGTCAGAAAGGTTAACACAGCATGAAGAAGCTCGACGAGTCTGTGCTATAATGATATAAATATGATATACAGTTTCGAATCCTTAGCAAGGAAATATTAATAACAAGCTTATGTAATGTTTAAAAATTCATACAGAAATAATCGTTTCTCACGCTCTGGCGTATAACATACTTAGGTAAAACTGCCCGTTAGGTTAGGTACACGTTTGTGAATACATCATATGTACACCGATAGAATAAAGAGAAATGTAGAATTGTTATTGCTTTCTTGTCTTTCATGAAATTTCATTGTCGCTCGAAAATAAGTTATTTATGCACGAACGTAACAGCTGTCAACTAATGTTATTGCGTCTGTTCGTTTTCGCTGCACCGCTGAACTAGTACAATAAGTTGAAGCGTGACGAGTATATGTTTTCTCACTTCAACTTATTGCACTAGTTCAGCGGTGCAGCGAAAACGAACAGACCTATTGATTCGTTGGTGACTAGAGACGGAAGTCGATACTACAGAAAACTTCATGAGATGGTGTCCACAATGCTAAATCTGAGTTTCATTTTTTATCTCGATAGATGCTTTGAAAAGTACTAGAATCCTTGGTGAATTTCCAGTCATTTATAATAACTTTCATCTCAGGCGAACAATTTCATGCGAGATTTAGCATCGTGGATATTACCTTTTAATGCTGTCTCATTTCTTATCCAGGTTCACAAGTCGATAATCGATTCGATATCGAGGGTTGGTTTTTTGAAACATTCGATTCGATAATTACTAGATTTTTATTCATAAAAAGATTCGACGCTGTATTAGCGACAGATTCGCATGGCATTTTGTCAATATCACGTTGATGCATACGATCTTTGCTACCGTCCATGAAATAAGCGGTTAAGTGAAAACTGGAGAATTTCGAGGCTGTCCCGAAATGATCGAAGAGTCAGTATTGCTTTTTTTCCGCGATTTTCAGCGCATCGTTCGCAAAATTTGTTCATCTTACGCGTTACGTCGAGATCGTTCTGGAGGAGCGCGCGTTTTGTACCTTTCAACGAGACACGCAGGAAACACGAATGTGCGCTTCGTTGATTCTCGCTTTGTGCAAAAAAACCCCCGCTGAATTATCGTCGTAACATCGGCTTTGATTCTTAAGACACATTACGCGCTGTTCCCTTTCGCTTTTTCTTCCCCTTCTCCGCGGATCTCACGCACAAACCGTGTGTCCCGATGCCACAGAAACCACCTTCCGCACTTGCTACCCTTTCCCGCGCATAATGTTACGCGGCTTGCAACATGATTGCATATTACGCGACGCGGTCGAGGAGGGCTCGACGATTTTGCGCACCTGCGGAACGAAGCGTGACTAACGCGTCGACTGAGAAAGTGGCACAATCTTCGAAATTGAATACAAAAAGGCAGCGAAATCGATGTCCGGTGTGCGTACAAACAATACCGGTATAATTGAAAGTAATACAAAAGGGAAGAGAAGTCGCGTAAAAAGGAAAGATAACGTCCTCTCCAAAGGTGAAAAGATTGAAGAGAAGTAGCAGTCATACGCACAGACACACAGTAGTTTCTCGCCGGTGGTCATATTAAATATAGCGCTGCAAATTGAAATTTCGTTGAAAATACCCGCTGGAAGCGGCGACTGTTTCCATCGGTAAAATCTGACAGCGAACACAGCGATAAGAGCTATTATTTATTACTCTAGTATATTTTCATTCATAATGATTCCGGCCGGGCTCGAATCAAAAACCATCCCGTTCTCTTCCTCTCTACATTCCAGGATTCGTCGTCGTTTTGTCCATTTTCACATTTTAGCCTCCTGATCTCCCGTTGCGGTCTCCCGTACCGAACTGACCCGACGCCGTCAACGTTTTCTTCGTTCCTCCGCGCCATAAACACGCTACGTATACGCGCTATATACTCTTCCTGGCGCACTCGCTTCCTACGTGCTTCCAACTCTTCGAACGCCTCACCGCGTACGACGTTGCAAGGAGATTGCGGGCGAGGGTGAATCGGCGATTTTATGCACCTGCGAAACGAAGCGCGACTAATGCGTCGATCCCACCGCGCGGAAGACGCGCTTTAATTTACGAAATTAATAATGAAGTTCGTGGGGGGAAAGCACGGGTTAAGCAGCGGCCAGCCGACTGTACATACAATGCATTATGTACGGTGCACAATAAAGATACGTGAAAATTGAGAGCGGTAACAATCCCCCCCCCCCTCTACCCAACGAGGCTCGATCGATGAACGCGCGTGCATACCTGCGACGACGTTGCAGTAGTTCGGAAAGTTAAATTTCGCAGATGGGAAAATACTTCACTGAGAAATCTATTCAGTCGACTTAAACTCAACTCTTGTTTGAAAATGGGCGAAGAAGTGTTTCGATTAGATTTGTTTGATAAGAAGCAAACCTTGCTGTGCAATAAGACTCGCGGAAAAGAGGCAACGGTGGATTTTTTATATCCTTTTTATGAATGGAATTATACTTTTTTCGATCATTCAAATTCGAGTTATCCCGAGAGGAATCTCGTGGCGGAGGAGTTGCGAGGTACCGCCGCGAGAGAAACGCTCTTTTGTCCGTTCTTATTCCTTAGCATTCAAGCGCGACCTGACGTTGCATGTGGCCTGAAAATCGCCGCTGGTAAATTGCAATTCGTCTTGAGCCTTCGACGCGGATAACATCGCAAAATTAAGGTCGGCGAGTAGTATTCGCGAGCCTTCTCCTTGCCTTTTAATTCTTATTTCTTTCGCCTGGCTGCACGCTCCCTCGTTGCATCGGAACACGGTATCCCGGAATGCGCCGTACAACCAGGCTGTGTTATAATGCAACGTCGGGCAGGGTGAGTGGGCGGTTTCACCGTGAAAAGAAGCGAAACTAATACACAAAATTTCAAGCGAGGCAAACGAGATGCGTCGAGGCCGAGTTTAGCGGGCTCGACGGAGGAGGACGAGCTTCTGTCTGAATAAGAAAGGACGCGAAGGCCACTGTGCAATGATGATCGGCTTCAAGATAGCAGCGAACTGAATTTCGCCCACGATCCTAATCATTTGTAATTTAATCAAAGCATATTTTTCACACACACATGTGCAAGAAACATGTACGTGAAATCTGTGTCATTTACGGTAAAAAGGGACCCTTTAAAATATATCGTTACGCTCGCGCGGGGAAATCAAACGAGACAACGTTAAAAGGGAAATAACTTCAACTATATTTGCTATTTCCAAGGAAGCACGCGTAACTCGCAGGCTCTCTTTTTCGTTAAAGACCGTCGCGCACGTCACGACGACTCGACCGGCCCAGACAGAATCTCTCTAACCCGTTGTTTATCCGTCAACGCTGATCATCTGTTGTTTGCGACTCGTTGCCAAGTGAATCGGCTGTATGTTCAGGGCGCTAAAAGCGCGGGCATCAAGACACGGGCGTAACACCGCCCCCCTCTTTAAAATTGTCGTCCCGAGAATTGAAATACAGCTTCCAAGATCCTCCACGCTTCCCGTACTACGAACACGGGCTCCAGCCCGTGCTAACGTACGGCGTCGACATAGGATCCATTTCCAAAACTCTTCCTGGGACCACGACGCTTCCTGTACTACCATGGACTCCTGTCCATGTTACCGTACTGCGTCAATAAGAATCCTTCACGTCTCGATTTCTTCCTCTATGTTCCTCCTTAATCAATGGAGGGATAGTACTAAATGTTCGGACTCTCTTGTGCCCTTCTCTCTTGATCAGACTCTCTTGTGCCCTTCTCTCTTGATCGGACTCTCTTGTACCCTTCTCTCTTGATCTTCGGACAAGGAGGGGATGTCACTCGTGAACCAAACGTTTTCTTGCGAAAAACACCCCAAGTCCCCGCCTTGGTATTCGCCCAATGCCTCACGGGAAAACCACGGTAAAAAAGCGTGGGTAAGGCGGCCTTCTCAAAATTCAATTCCAAATGTACACCAAGTCTCCAGATGTTCCACCAAAACTCCAGACATTTCATCAAGAACAGCTAAAATTGAGAAACAAAACACCGCAGTAGATTCTTTAAGATTAAAATCCTCATGACTGAAACAAATACCAGATACAAGGCTCAAAAGAACGAACTGGTTGTTAATAATTTATATAATATTTGGGTAAAATTAAGATTACGCGAAGGCAGAATAAATAATACATAAGATGTCATGAATAACACTAATTTAAAAGTTTTTCGCATAGTGTTAGTGTCAAGGAAGAGATCAGTGTAGTTGCGAACAACTGCAATGAAAATATCCGCTATATGGATATCACAAGTGGATTTATGCGACATGAATAATATATCTACAGGAATTCGGAAATTGGATATCGATAAAATATACTTCTGATTTGAAAAATAATGGACTTTCCAACTGTGTCTTCCTTGTCAATACAACGAGCTGTTTGAAACAAACACGCGAGTCAATTTCTTCTCTAGCACTGATTTAGAAAAAAATAGTATCGCACGGAGAAAACCGCTGCAGTTGCGACAATAATATTCTCTTCTTCTTCTCCTTCTTCTTCTTCCCCTTTGTGCCGCTAAGCGTCGGGGTATTTCATTTGTCTCTGAATAGATGCTTTTCGCTCCACGTGGGTTATCAGCCCTACGGAAGCTAACATGATGCGCACACAGATCGTATATATACATATGGGACCTACGGTTTAACGCCGGTTCCGAACGGCAAAGTTGGAGAGAAGTTTCAACGATATTCTCTATAATGATAAAAGAAATATATATGAAATAAAATGAAATAAATTTCTCTTCATACTCAAATTTGTTGTTGACATATGTCCATTTATACAGTTGTCACAATTATAGTCCTTACCATATGTAATATTCTGTTAATATATTCTCAAATATAGGTGCCTCAACCAAAGGAATACAGTCGAATGTGAGAGGAATTATCGATTGTGATTCAACTTTTTAACGGTCAATTTTTTATGGCTTAAAGCTTACCACATTTATTGTAGGTCCGGGCGTTACTGAACAGCAGGAGAAGAGTAAGAGCAGACCATAGAATACGAAGGGGGACCCAAAAAAAAAAACCGAGCTGAGAGCGCGCTGCCATTCGTAGACGTACTACATGGGCTGAAAAGTCCCGGGATTTTTCAGTAGTTGGCGCCACTAGAAAATGAATATGATTTATTTCGAGAGGTTCGTCTGTCACTAGTTTATGTGTGAAGTTTCATGATATTTCGTTCATTCGTTTACAAGCTACGGTCGTTTAAGTGTCGCTACCTTCGCCTTCGTAAAAAAAAAATGGAAAAACAGGAATATCGCATATTGATCAAACATTGTTTTTTGATGGGAAGGGAAGAACAGTTACGGGAGAGCATTATGCAGCGTTATTGGACAAACTGAACGACGGAATAAAGAAAAAACGGCCCCATATGG